GTGAACGAGGAGAAGGCGTATCGTGCGTGCTTTGGTTGAAGGAAGGGGAAGAAGAGTCAAGTGGGAGAAGGGATCACCTTGAGCGATCGAATTAAAGGAGAAGGGTTGTGAACATGCGAAACAAGATGGCAGGATCTGCCCAAACATGCAAGTTTGCGCCGAGGAATAAGAAAAGGAGTGGCTCTTGTGTAGGAGGAAGAAGCCCGCGCGTGTGTGATACCGCTGTCCACCAATAGGACCTTCACATGTTTTGTTCTGCGCGAAGAAAAAAAAAAGGGACAAGAAGCTTCCAATCAGGGAAGAGGGGAGGGGGAGATTGTGTGCGAGAAGGGGAGACTGACCAGTGCTTTTAAGGTAAGGGTTTTTATGATATAATTTATGAATTTATGAATACATTTAATTTTTGTGTTAATAGTAAAGTTTTTTATGTTAGGGTTCAAGTTATAGAAATTTCAGATTTTGGATCGAGAAGAGGGAGGCGGCAGTAAAGAATATGGTTAAGCTGAGTTAAGGTTTTAGCATATTACTTATGAATTTAATATATCTATCTAACTATTATAATATTAATAGTGTTCTTAATTACATCGTAATTTTGAAAATTTAATCGAAGGAGGTGATCGATGAAGGAATAAACAAACAAATTTATTTGAGGTAAGTTATGCTTATGTCTTTTAATTTAGAAGACATTAAAACCTAAAATAAGGTTTAATTGGGAAATACTTTTTGACTTTTGAATAATAGAAATATTGAAGTGATAAAATATTTTGTTTTACATTTTTAAACTCTAAATAGAGAACATCAAATATTATATTTTGAAAGTAAGGTGAGTACTTGTACTTCTAAATTATTGTAATAATTTGATTTTCATAAGTCTGATTTGTCCCATGAATTGGTTAGATAGATTTTACTTGCCCTTTAAGTTCAGTTGATCTTTGAATGTCATTTAAATGTATGATTTATGTTATTGAATGATATGAAAAGAAAATATGAATGAAATTTATTATTTTGATTGCTTTCATGTGCATGTTTGACTATGATAGAATTACCCTTTTATGATACTATCGGAAGAACGCTAAAGTACCCGTACACGTAAATTGAAAATGATATTAATATTGAAGTACTTTAAGTGGTACAATTTTTGACGGTGCTCCCGTGATGGCTGTATATAGATTAAAATGATATTAATATGTAAACGATATAACAAGACACATAGTGAATGTTCATAATCACCTTAAATGATCGTCTAGTACAAACCCCCAATTGTCCTTATATTTTTACACAGTTTAATTGTCATGCATATTGTCTCTTTTTTCATTGAATTAAATATAGTTTAGAAGTATGAATATTTACTAACTCTGCTAACTTTCTATTGTTTTAAATTAATTTTTTTCATGTTTAAATTATTTCATTTAAAAGATGAACAATAACAAAGAAAATATTTATATAATACATGGTCAACAAGAAATAAGATAAAGTTTAATTATATCGCTTTAACTATTTTATTTCGTGCCTCTTTCATTTGTTATATGTTAAATATATAAAATGAACATAAGAAATTTTTAATTTTCACCATCTGATCAACTGTTTCTGCCTTGGTTAATTATATGTTCTTGGCCAGATCATAACAAAAATAATGTAAATAACTCCGCATAAGACGCAAGAATACATACATACATATATATATATATTGTATACATACATACATATATATATATATTGTATATATATATACATATATATATATA